ATTATATTTTCATTAAGAATTTTATTGATAATAGGTAAGTTATAGTTTTAAGTAAAGTTTTTTGATTTAATTAGTTGTAAAAAGTCGCACATTCTGTAATAATAAACTTTATTTTTCGCCATTTGGTGTGTTTAGGTAGGGAGTTTTTGTTTGATGTTTTTTTTTAAATCGGTTCAATATTTTTCTTATAAAATTGTTTATTTTTCCATTTTTAGCGTAAATAATCATAGATACGAAATACCTTCAAATGTTATTCCTGCTGAAGCCAATAACTGTGGTTTGACGTACATATTGAAACTGGGCATAAACTCCAGAGTTATGTTGAGACGCAACATTACTGTTACTAAAGGGCCTGATCCAACTATCTTATCCAAATTTAAATGGCCTGCCCTTCGCTGTAATCCGCTGTAATCAAATAGAATCAGGCGAGTTACCTAATTCAGTCTTTATAAAATAGTTGCTGAGCCCTGCAACGTTTCGCAGGCATATTGTGGTATATTGTGGTAGCAAAAAATAGCTAAAAACCATCTTTGAAGCTTGTTGTATATCGTGTTAAAGTTTGAACTCGGTCGGTGCAGAACTGTTTGAGTTTTTATAGCGTACAAAAAACAACTTAACATTTTTATATACTCGTACTTACATAAATTGTATATGTACAGATGATGACGACTCCTTTGCCACAAAATCAAAAGCAATCTGATAGGTTTATCAGACAACTAAAAGCTACGGGGATGTTGAATGGGGTTAGTTGCTATAGCGCCTGTTTTAACAACCGTCGACACATTCGCTTTTGCATACTGCTAATCCTCAGTTGGACGTTTACGGTGCACAAACTCCAGGGCACTACTCTAAAATTCCCAATGGCAATGTTTATGATGCGCTAACTCGCGTAAAGATGGCATAATGATGGTGTTGCTCTTTGAGACTTAGAGCCACACAAAGCCAAAAAAAGTAACGATTAAGTCTAATTGTAAATATTTAAATTAGAACACTAAGAAAAGCTAGGTAAGTAGCGCGGGTTGCTAATCCGACCCTCAGCTTTGTATGTCTTTCCTTTTCTGTACATTACAGGTTACTGATACTGTTAGATAAAATGGTTATTTATCGTAAGGTCTAAGCAAGTACTATAGTAAAAAAGTGTCATAAAAAAGTCTTGTTACACATTTTTCGGTCTAGCTCCCATCCGCTCAGAGCGTGTATAGCGCAATAAATACACATACAGCAGGATTCGCATAGGGCTATGTGGACTAGTTTATGATGTGATGCGTAATACTATTATTATGTTATAAGTATTGTCAATAAATATTCAAGACAGTAACTGCTGCGTTTTACGGTTCGGAGTTCGGATTCGGAGTAAACTACCTTGTGACCTCTTTAGAGATTTTACTTAACAACACAATTTAATAAGTCCTATTTAAAGAGTAGTCCAAAATGTTCCCTGAGGTCGCTGGGTTACTCTTCTGTTCGCAATCAATTTGAGGGTTATCGCTCTGTAGATCAAACTTATATCAGCGATGATGATATGCCCATATTTATACTTACTCACTAAAATGCGACGCAAATCACATAAAGTTTCTCTAGAAAACGATAGGTCACTTTAAACGTAAACAACTTCGTGCGACCATCTATTTCCGAGCTAATGAGGATATCACTAAAGTTTATAATCGTGTGCCGTCCTACATTGGTGCCAAAATACGTGCGGTATTTTCGCAGTAATGAACTTTATGGAAGGTTCGTAAACGCATTTACGTATATGATTTAATTACGTTAGAAAGTAGTTTGGTTGAACACCAAAAAGAAGATATCATTAATTGCTTACAAAATAACAAAACGATTTTTTGCATTCTTTTTTGTATAATATCTGACGGAGAACCGGTGTCGAGGTTGTTTTTAAAAGGAGTGACGTCAGCAAAGCTGACATCATTTTTTACATTATCGTAGTTTTCCTTTGCTAAAAGCTATAGTAAATAACAACAACAGTAAATACAAATAAATTTAAAATATTATATTATATTAAAAAAAAAAATACAAATATATATATATATATATATTCTTATATTATAAATTTCGAATGCGATTATGATTGCATCAATATTGTAAGCACTCTTGTAACTCATTTATATGAGTAAAAAAATAATTTATCCGAGACTCACCGTTTTTCAATTCTCGAAGAGGCGAGAATGACCGAGCATGCAAAATGCAGCTCGTTTTTATATGTGTTTACAAGTTGTTAGGATAAGTATTGTATTTTATTGGTGTTTTTAGATAACATGATTCTTCAGGTTATTTGTAACATTAACAATTCTGAGTAAATTAAATCATAATCAATTAGAATCTAATTTAAATCAATCAAATTAGATTTTTGAAGTAAGGTAGTTGTTGTTACCATCCGCTACGGCCATACTGACAGGCGGTGAACGCTCTGCATTGTTTTTCATTATGATTGTTCTTATAGCCTGTAAATAGAGGTTTAACCTACGTTGTTCTATGTTAGTTGTTACATAAATACACAATCGGTGCAGCTTATGTAGGTTCTCGAAGATTTATAGAAACGTTTTTGGTTTTTCTCTTGGGTGTCTCGGAGGGTCTCGTGGGTTTCTCGGAGGGTCTCGAAGAGTCTCGGAGAGCCTCGTAGGTTCTCGGAGGGTCTCGTAGATTTCTCCTAGACTTAAGATTCTCGTAGAGTTTCTATCAAAAAACAAGGCCCATACTTTTGCATCCAGGAGTGAGACAAGGGGGGGGGGGATTCGTCTACTCGTCTGTAGATGGCCCGAGGTAAGTCGGGGCACCATCACCTATTAGTACCCGAGACGGCGTGCGGTTTTAGTCGGTTCGAGTCCGACATGCCACCGATAGGTGGTATCCGAGGGGATTTAGGCACGGAAAAAAAAAAAAAGGAGTGAGACAAGGGGACGCTATTTCCCCGAAATTGTTCTCAAATGCAATGGAGGATATATTAAGACGCTGCATTGGAAAGAGCGCGGCATCAACATCACTAGTGAATACATCTCTCACCTGTGATTTGCAAACGACATCGTCACCATGGCAGAGAGACTGTAGGACCTACAACAAATGCTGAATAACCCAAACGACTCTCCCATACGTATAGGCTTACGGATAAACTTGGACGAAACCAAGGTCATGAACATAGCAGACCGTATTAGCAAGCTGAAGTAGTAGTGGGTTGGCCATATTAGCCGCAGAACCGACAGCCTTTGGGTGTAAGGGAGGTCTGTCCGTGTGGTGATGGACTCTTAATACGTGTCACCACCCTTATTTCTCCCGTAGGTGTCGTAAAAGCCAACTAAGGGACAAATTCCATTGGACACCGGCACTGTAAAGAAAGAAACCTCGACACAAATCCTATACCAACCATTCCGGTCAGCGTGGCATATTAGGTCAAAACCTCTCTTCTTTGGAGATGCCTATATCCAGCAGCGGACCATTAAAGGCATGTGTTATGATGCTGGGACGATATTTTTTGGAGTTGAGACCGCGTCTCCATTTAAATAGTATCACCGATATATATATTTATTTTTCTAAAACATTCAACGCTTTACTGGCCTCTAGAAGGACTGAGACATCAATGACCCAGATTATACTTATTATCACTAAGCATTAATTCAGATGTGTACTGTGAAGAACTGGAGAGAATGATGTAGAAGCTTGCACATCTGCAACCAGCTTTGGTCAATCGGTCGTCCCCACTGCTCCTTCACGACAACGCGCGACCCCATACTGCGCAACAGACAGTCTCCAAGCTGCAAGAGCTGGGGTTGGAAGCTCTCCCTCATCCGCCATACTCACCAGACCTTGCACCTACCGACTATTACTTTTTCCAAAATTTAGACAACTTTTTAGTGGGTAAAAAATTCAATACCCGAGAGGTACAAAATGCCTTTGAAGAGTTTGTTGCCTCCCGTCCAGCTGATTTTTACAAGAAGGGCATTAATAAACTGCCAATGCGTTGGCAAAGATGCGTCGTTTGCATGGGTGATTACTTCGAATAACAGAAATAAAAGTTTTCAAAAATAAGTACATTCACTTATTGCATACAAAACGGCAATTTCATAGGTAAAGACCTAATATATATTTATATATATATATATATATATAATATATAGCCAACTAGTAGAATAGACAACTTTTTCGGACAGGTCATGAACCTTGTCATGAATCTTGTCAAGAAATCTTCCTCTCTAACAGTAAATGGGTAGTTTTTGGTACTGCTATCTGCTGTACGGTAGAACGTAGAGTAGTAACGTAAGGAGTGTAACGCTTCTGTTAGGATCGCTGAACCTCTTCCTTATATGACACAAATCCTTTAATGTCAATAATGTCAATTTAATACTTCTTCAAATAAATTTCATATGGTGGACTTAATGCCATAGGCACTTTCTTCCAGTCGACCTTTTTTTTTGATGTAGAGCTCGTAGCAGGTCTTTAATTGAAGCTAATGAGAAAAATGACTTAATATGAACAAACTCTTTTACTTTATTTAATACATTGCAGGCTGCTTCTAAAAGCCAAACTACAGGCATTATCATTTAATTTATTATTTAAAAATACTAAGTACGTACTAAAACAATAACAACATAATTATGATAAGGTAAATGGAAGCTAAGTGATATTCAAAGTATTAAATTAAAAAAGTTCAAAGTATTAATGATAATAAATCTAAGGGTACTTTACCACTGTACCTGTAATGACCATTTTATTTAACAGGTTGTATATATAACCTGTTAAATAAAATGCAAAATACATACACACATACAATTTAGAATGAAAATTAGTGAAGAATCACAAATTAACTTCAATAACATATTCAATAACTGTGCACGATGCGATGCAGTAGACAGGCTGCTTTAGCATAATCAGTTATTGGTGATGAGGTAAAAATATTATGTTGCATATATAATAGCTACTTTTAATAAACAATACAGTGACTTCAAAACAAGTGCCACTTGGTAGCGGTTTATATTAGAATTGTATTTTATAAAATGATGACTAATAACTTATATGTTTTCGGCGACCAAGATGTCAAAGTTCCAGCCCATTTGAATTTTGGTAAATATATTTTAGACCGGATCAGACGTAAGAAGGACGAAATAGCATTGGTAAGTCAAATCATTGTTTGATGTTTTAAGCCAAAAGTTTTCCATTTACATCGATAATAGCAAAAAATTATAATTTTTTTATTTAAATGTCTATTCAATCATTCAAATTTATTTAGGAACATGGTGAAACACACGTGAAAGTAACATATAAAGAATTTACCCAATATGCCGTCAATGTGTCCACCGCTTTGACAAAGCTGGGTGTGGGGCGAGGTGACATTGTTGCAGTGGGATCTGAAAAACGCAATGAATTCGTCTCCACGGTTCTTGCGATAGTGTTCACTGGCGCGACCTACACCCCTTATGATTTAAAGAGCGGTCGAGGTGAGACAAACTATCTTGCTTCCACTACATCCTTTAAACGCTCCATAAATTTTTATACTGTTTTCAAATTTAAAGGGAGTTGAATGATAGGTATTTGTGGTTAGAAAAAGGATTTTATTTGAGAAAATACAAACAGTTACCTCAATATGAATTATATTTAACTGAATACCCACTTAGCGTTGCATATGAACAACATCAATACACTCTCTACTTAATTGTAAATTTGTGTTGATGGGCTCTCGGAAAAAAATTAGACACAAATTTTTGGCTGGCTTTCATTATTATAACGTCACGTTCAAACCCCTAGTATAGTATCAATCTAAACCAACTTTTATTCTAAGCAATTTAGCTTATTGTTGAGTAGCCTTTGAGGAAAATATCAGGAAAAATAACGGTTGCCGTAATTGTAATGGATTATTTTAATAGTTTTTTTTTAAATATTTTAGCGGTATTGAAACATAAGATAACCACAACAAAACCTAAATATTTTATATGTTCTTATCATTTTTGGACGATATACAGTGACATTTTGAAAAGTTTTGACTGCATTAAGACAATCATAACATTAGACGATGACGACGGAAACCATTCTTTAATACCCATAAGAACATTGGTGAAGAAGGACGAAGACATAAACAATTTTGAACCAGCAGAAGTTCAGGGACAATTTGACACGGCATTTAATTTGTATTCTTCGGGAACCACTGGAATGCCAAAAGGTGTGCAATTGACACATTTGAATTGCATTCTGAATAGTCTACCTGATGAGTAAGTATGGGAATTTTATTGGTATTTGCGATAAACAGAACAAATTAATGTCAGGAAAGTGAAAGTGTTGGAGGTTGGTGATAGAGTGCTATATAGGAATGATCGAAATATTGATTTACTTAATTTTTAAGATTTTAATAAAACGAAAAAACGAAAAAAAAACAGCTAAAATAATATCATTTCAATAAAATAATATCATATAATTTTTTCAATAATTAAATTCAAGATAAAAGTATCACCGACTTTAACGAGCATCCATAATTATTATCTACTGTAATTAAAGCTTTCTTCATCTCATTGTTTTCTACATGCAATATTTTGTTTAAATTTAAATTTATGCCGGCGTTTTTTGGAGACAGTATTGATCACCTCGGACCTGTCGTTTCTGAGGGGCAAAGAATCCAGAGAGACCAGGACCACGTGATTTCAGATATCACCGAATCGACGTTGAGCCTGACTAGTTCATATTTCGGGGAAAGCTTCCTCCTTCTTATCTGCCCAATTACTATATTGCGGACTAGTGGTGTCGTTATGCGATCAGGCCGACATACTCCCCCCACCACAGTTTCCTAAATCTGCCAGCAGGAGTCCTTACTCTCTGGCGACCAGCGGCCCCATCACAGCCTACGTCTTCTACCCTGGGATCGGCCTTCACCTGATTCTGTTTGGGGATCTTTTTCTTGAGCATTACAGCTTCACAGAAAGAGACCATTGCCCCCCAGCCCTCCTCACCGGCCAAAATGCCAGTAAAAATTGCTGGTGGGAACAGATCTTGTTCCTTTTGATCGACGAGGACCTCCTATTTAGAAACCCAATCTTCCAACGTACACTGGGCGGAGAAGCAGTCGGCTGCACAGTGCTGGCACTGAGCCGTCTCCTCGCGTCTGATTACATTCAGGTACTTACCGAAGCTTGCCCAGTGAATACCTGCGATAATCGGTAGGTGTTGTGACACTCCTCCCCCCACCCCCTGACAACCTACCCTCATCTTTATCCCTTCCTTATTGGTATTAATTCACAAATAGTGTAGTTAGCGCACAAAATAGTTTGATTAACAATTGTGCCATATTCATAATTTTCCGATTTTTCAGCTTTAAGGACGAGTCTCTTCAAACTGCTTTTGTATTCGGAGAGTGGTATCACAACTATGATACTTTCATGACTTATAAATTCCTTGCTTTGGGAAGAAAAATTGTATACTTCGATGAAGCGCTCCCTCATTATTTTATAAAATGTGTTGAAAGTTGTAATGTAAGTACCTCACATAAACGCTGGTATATGCGTTCTGTTGGTAGGTTACAAAGTTTTCACTAATATAAATAGTGTAAACTGTTTCTCTAACAGACATTGACTTGTATTAAAGGAACTATTTATATGTATTAAAAAATCATAGCTAAAAATATTTAAGAAAGAAAATAAAGTTTCTTTTTGATCCCAGTTTAAAAAAATGAAATAAGTTAGTTATTTGAAAAGTCCAGAAGAACGCAAACTTAATTATTTATGACTTAGACAACTACTACCCATTTAAACTATAACCACACTAGTCAATTCTTAAAGACCTAATATTCTTACTAATATTTTTCACTTCTTCTTTATCAAATTTAATAATTTTATTACTTTAGATTAACGTAGCCTTCTTAGTACCATCTTTTGTTAATTATTTATCAAAGTCGGAAGAAGTAGATAAATTTAACGTCGATTCGCTCAAAATCATATACTCCAGATCATCTCCACTTCACAACAAGACGATCAAAGAAGTCAAATCGAGGTGAGTTATTATTCATTTTTTAAACAATAAGCAACCAGTTTTTTTTTGAATTTTTAGTTAAATTAATTACTGTTGATAATTACTGTTGACTGTTGATACTTCTTTAAAAGGCATGAATATCATCATCAACAAGAATTTTAGCATTATCAAATTGTTACTCATAGACTAGTTGTAATACTGAAAGTCATGTTAATGCTGACATAATTATAAAACTGCCAATTATGTAACATACGAAAATGGTTAATTAAATATTCTAGTAAATATTTATTCCTTTATAACTTATTAGTCAATCTATTTAAGGTTAGAGATAAATACTTTAAGAAATTTAAATACCTATTACCGCACTCTTTTGCAGATTCCCGAATCTCAAAAACGTTCTCCAGGGTTATGGCATGACTGAAGCTGGAGAATTGACCTCAGAAAGTTGGGGAACAAAAGGTCCCAAGCCTGGAAGTGTTGGCATGGCTACTCCTGGTATCACATTAAAAGTATGTTTAATAAAACTCTGTTGTAAAGTGCAATAAACAGAAGTTTAGTTACAAACATTATCTATTCTCTGTTCTCCTTGATTTATAGACAATTATTTACGTAAGGTATTCTGACAAGATAACACCTAACAAATAGCAAATAGTTTATTTCTCCTATTTCACACAAAAGCTATAAGCGCTATTTCAACAATAAATTCTGATGTCCTGCAATTTTTGTGTAGAAAATTAATGTATGCTTTGGCTGGGAATTTTAATAATTATTATCTTCCATAAATATATTGAAACAGATATACAACAACTAAAAATATCATTTTACGTACTTTTTGGTGCTATTGATATTTTATCCACAGGTAGTGGACCCAGAAACCTGTGAAATGCTAGGCCCAAATCAACGAGGAGAAATATGCCTCAGAGGGTCGGTGTTTATGAAAGGTTATATCGGTGTTGATCCTTCAGTTTACTTGGATAAAGAGGGTTTCTTTAAAACTGGAGATTTGGGATATTATGATGATGATAAATACTTTTATATCGTGGAAAGGCTAAAGGAAATGATTGTGTACGACGGCTACAAGGTACGTAAAATTATATGATTAATTTAAAAATTTATAACTTGGAGCGATTTCAAGTAAGACAGACCACTATTTCTGCTTTTGTTTTTGATGATGCATTGAATTCGCTAATGAAAAGACTAATACAAAATGGTATACAATTCTCTGCTCACAAAAAGGAGGGGCCCAAAATCATTAGGCGATTCTCACAAAACAAAATTCCTCCGTCTTGTCAAGGAAACATAACCTAACTTTTTGCAAATATGCATAAATTATAAATTACCTTTTTTCGGACCGACTAAAACCACACGGTGTGCCACTCTGCGCCTGTAATAGGAGGGATCCGGGAACAGCTGTTATTAAGACATCCGGACTCCTCCTAGCGCCTGCCCGCTCCTGGTGCGGGCTCCATCTCAAAATTTTAACCTCTCTTTAACCCCTCGCGGCTGGCCAAACTAATTATAAATTACCTAGCATAAGCAAGTAAACAAAGAAATAGAAATATAAATACTGTTTACAATATTATCTTAGCCAATGATAAGATTCACCCAAAACACTTATTTTGTGTAATTAGTCTTACACACTACGATATAATTTTATTTTGTCTAGCATTAAGTGACTTCGCAAATTGCATGCGTACTGGCAATGTTGTTTGTTGGACCGACAATTTGAACATTACATTTGACTAAAGTAACCATTACCAGGGTTTCAGGAGTACCGTAATAACGCTAATAGTTTCCTTATAACTTAACACTTAATATTTTTGTCTTGGTATCAATATGTTAGTTGTCTCATTTGCGGTTAATAGATATGGGCGCATTAGCTATTTACGAAATCCTTGGCTTAATACATTACTTAGACTAAGTATAATCGTGTTCTTCTTGGAATTTGGTACAATGCCAAGTAAGTAATAGTGTCCTGGCTTTCTATTTAACATAATCTACATATACAGCTCAATACGCAAGTGTGTTCTTGAACATTTGATTACATTAGATGTTCTATTTGAATATTTATATTTACGTAATTTTGCATCGTTGTTTTCGCTAAAGAATAATTTACAAAATACCTAAGATCACTAATACAGACCAGACCCTTTTCGATTTACTATGTTTCAGTAATTATATTTTATGATGTATATTTTTGACGTCGGTAACAGTGAGTATGGTGTAATCTGAGATCATCTCGAATTCTCTAAACTTTTAGAATATCGATTCACCATGATGTTGATGGATATTAATATGCGACTTTAGAAAATAAGTAGGTTTAATCATTGCGGCTGGCTATTAAAGGTTAAATATAAAAGTCAACTCCTAACTAGGGACGTAGTTTTTAAAACTTTAGGGCATTGAAAATCCAACTGTGACTCAATATGAGTTTGAAAAAAAGTGCCAACTTTACAGAAATTTCAATAGGAATCGGCAAATTCTCTTTACCAAATTAATAAAACATCAAATATCCCATATTGGTTAAATAAATTGGTGTATTTGTTAATTATATTTGTTTAGTGTCGTTTTGCTACTGGTATTATAAATCAGCATAATTATAAGTGAAAACGTATTATTGGATACTTCTACCATGAACTTTATAAATCCAAGCATCTGTCGACACTTGGGTTTATGATACGGAGTAAACAATATTTAGTGGAAGTGTAAAACTGTTATATTTTACTAATATTTTTTATTAAAATATAAGATTACTCGATTTCAATCTGAAGTTAATAACTTTACAGTCTAATTACAACTAATTGTGTACGTTCATGGATCTCCACTTCTTCATTAACGGAATGCTTTAAAATTTTAAAATTCGTGAATTATATGCGATGTGGATATTAGTTACAAGGTTAGTTGCCAATTTCAGGTAGCTCCACTGGAACTAGAGACTATAATACAATTACATCCTGGTGTACGCGAAGCAGGAGTAGTTGGCAAGCCCGTACCCGTCTACGGAGAAGAACCTTCAGCATTTGTAGTAAAACAGCCTGGAGTTACCGTTACTGAAAAGGAATTAATGAGTTATGTAGCTTTAGAGGTAAGCATTTAAGCACTTCTAATAAAAATTAAAATCTTTTCATACATGAAAAAAAATAACAACCAATGCCATTTTTAGAATTTATTACTATAAAATAATCATTTAAGTTGATGATTAGAAAGGATGAACAGGATAGTAAATACTACCTATGAAAAAAATAAATAAAGGACAAGTTAGGTAAGGTAATAGATTGGAATTGATTGGTTTGACGATTAGTAAAACTTGTCGTAGGATTTTTCTAAATACGAGGGAAAAAAACAATCTTTCTTTATCTTCATGACCATGAACAACGATTTTACAAACGAAAAGAATTGAATTTTTCGTTATGATATTTAATTGTTACATCTTTTTAAGTTTAAAGTTTAAGGACAAAAAGGTCACTCATCATTTCGTGTATATTTTTTTTTATAAATAAAATCGTAAAATTTTAAATAACACAATAAACTATTTATATCTTGTTGTTGACGTCTTTGAAGTCCACATAGATAATTTAATTAAACAACAAGCAATTATTTTGCTGATAATAAAAAAAATGTTTCATCAATTTCCTTTTTAAAATGAATTGTTATGCTTTGTGTCTTGCGATAGAACTAAGTTGATTAGTTAGTTAAATTCTTTTTATACCTACCTAACCGTAAAACTGAGTAATCATACTCAAATTTTACAAACATAATTAATTTATTGTAAAATTGTTAGCACTATTGTAATTAGCTATGTATACATATGTTGCCTTATTTCCAACCAAAAACCTTGACTTGATCTGTTCCTTTTTTTCAATAAAAACTTAAAGTTGTTTTAAAAGCACGCACATAAATGTAACAATGTTCATAATAGTTCAATATTCCTCGGGACAAATTCTGTTTAATTAAAACCAATGATTTCAAGATATTTTTCTACTTTTAAGGTAGCGCCATTTATGCAACTAAGAGGTGGTGTAAAGTTCATTGAAGAAATACCGAGAAATCCCAGAGGAAAAATTGTGCGCCAACGCTTGAGAGAAATGCTCAGATAAACTGTTTAAACTTACTCCTTGTATACACTCATACATACTACAATATGTTTAAACCGAAATAACTATCCTTTATTTTTGAAGTTAATTTTTCTACCATATTGTTATTAAAGTGTTTAAATTAATAAATGAAACTTTTTCCCGTTTGTTGCTTTATGAATATGATCAATTTTTCATTAGATATTGTTATAAAAAACTGCGGGAATTTCATACATCGGACTAATAAAATCTGAGATAAGCATTTTAAAAAGATACTTGTACGCACTAGCTAATTGGTTGAATGCACCCCCGCCCCGCGTAAACTATAGCGTTGCTTGCACTTCAAAGATAATATTTCCCACAACAAAGGTAATATTTTTCATATTACTCTTGACCTTTCCTTTGTTTAAGAGGTGTTTATGTTGAGCTCGTAAGTCATTATTATATCATTAAGCTACTCTTGAAGGAAAGAAAAAAACATGGGCAGACGAAGAGCGCCTGTAAGCTTTGTACGACGTAATAAATTTAAGTTTGTGTTTCTCCTCGTATCTTTAGAAGCGTCTTCGTAAATTTGGTGTAATTAAGATTATCATAATTCCTTATCTTTTAGGAAAATTAAAATAATTTTGCAATATGACAAGTACTTGGCAAAAACTGCTTTTGTCAATTTGAATCTGGTTTGGTTTTTCATAAAACAGTTAAACTTCTTTCTACGGTTATTAGTAGCTAAAAGTACTTTGTAGCATGCAAATAAAAATTGATTCTTTTATTTTATACGTTTTTATAACCTAATTCTGTAAAAATATATCTAGACTTAGATATGCAAATTTAAAAAAGTTCTACTTGGCTGCGGTGTCATTTGCATTGTCATTTTTTAAATGAAACTCTTTTACCATTTAAATTGACTGGTTTTACCTCGGAGCAATTTTGCGCGCCCTAGCCTCTTTGCGAGAATAGTCCCTGCGGCCTGTAATAGGTTTCTTAAAAGAAAATCGAGTTAAGCAATCATGATTGACTTAATTGTAGAAACACTTTATCTGCAAAGATTATGGAATGGCCTGAGAGAGTGAACAGCACATAGTTAATCATGTTCTTTAAGAAAATCATATTTAATCTTAATCTTAGTGAAGCGAATGTTTAGTATAACTCTAATGTATATAAATAATCTATTTAATATTATCATTGAAATTATAACATTCTATTTGTTAGTTACGCTAGGAGCGTAACAAACAAACAGAATGTTATAATTTAGCCTTAACTACACAACAGGTCATAGGGAAACTTTGCACACACATTTACAGGGATACTGAAAGAGTGATAGCCAAAGGCTATGCGAACACAGCCGAGTATAGCAAAAGCATAGAAAATCATTGTTTACATGTCAATACATGTACTTTTACGTAACACACACGATAACTTCAAATCTAAATTTCCCAATGTTAACCGATGATTCAAAATGTATAATTATCTTAGTAAAGATAAGATTTTGTATCTAGGTTTTATTTATATGTAACATTTATGTACTTAAAAATATATATGTATGTTTATTAACAGCCTGGTTACCGTAGCACAGGCTCTGCCTAGTTTGTGATCAGACTGCCATGTGTAAAGCTTTTTTTGCCTAAAGGCATTGGCATTAGGAATAAATCCTGTGTCGCGGGGACTTTACAAACATACATGAAACGGACACAAAGAACACCCAGACTCAGAACAACAATTTGTGGATCACTCAAAGTGTCGCCCCATGTGGGGTTGAACCCACAACACTCAGCGTAGTTAGAAGCAGCGTGGCGACGGCATAAACCACTTAGACTTGGAGAAAATCAATTTAGGCAATTTTTAAACTTACCTCCCTCCTGACTTGGGTTAGTTAGTTGAATGTGGTGGGCATTCAACCAGGGATGTCAGACGTACCAATTTCTTGGTATACGTACCATTTTTCAGGGTCTTGTACCATTTGGCGTTACTACGTCTTGTGGTACAAGACCCTAAGCTTCCAGTAGGAAACGGCGTGGCGACCGCTTAAACCACTACGACATCAGTGCAGTCAGTTACTTTTGTAAACCACGATAAACAAGCTTCAGCCAATTCATAAAACGACACACATTTAAATTCTCGCATGGTAATAGCTTAATTTTTATGGTTACAACTTGACAAAATGGAATTGAATAAGATAAATATATCCAATTATATGTTGTCGGTTATCAAAGTCTAGAACGCTTATAAGCAACATACGTATATGTCGTCTTTAAATCTTAGTTTTTTTTTTAAATCGTTTATTTTCAGAACAAATTAAAACTGACCTTTGTTTTTGACTGATTTGTTTTTCCACTGGTTAGAATTCTTGGCTGCCAAGCCAAAGATCATGGATTCGATTCACACAAAGTAAAAAATAGTTGTGTGTCGAACTCTAAAATATGTTCTGCTTCTGTGTGTAATTTATTTTATTCAATAGGTACAGATACAAATTCAAAACAAATCATGCTTCGTTTTCAATATAGGTTAAGGTTGGATTTAAATTTAAATTTGTACAGAAAAAGATTTAAATAAAATATAGAGAAAAAAACAACTTAAATTTAAAAAATGGATACCTATAAACTTAAATTAACTAAAAAGGACTATGTATAAACAGCTAGCTAAACAACTGATTGACACTTCTCGTGAACAGAAGGCTGGCCTTTTTCTAGCACAGAGAGTTAGCATTGCCATTCAACGTAGCAATGCTGCCAGTTTACTCGGAACGCTACCAGTAGGTGATGTGCGGAGGAATTTTTTGATGCTTGTATGTAAATAGTGTGTAAATGTTGTAAATATTCTAACATAATTAATTTTTATTCTTAGTTTCAAATTCAAGGTAACTTAAGATGTAAATCTGCACTAATAATTATAGACCTAATATGATAATTTACGAGCCAAGTATGCTTTAAATCGATTACTAAAAAGGTCTTATAGGATTGTTATGTAATATGGCAAAAAAGATTTAAAAGATCTAAGCTTGTCGTGAAAAATGTCTACCTGTGAGCAAATAGCATTATAATTTTTACACATTCTGTACAACGATTATTCTGAGACACATTGTTGTCGCTTGTGGGAAGACTAAACAGCTGTGGGACATGCACAGATCTAGTTAGTGTTTTTATGTCTATATATTCAACAAGGTGGCCATCTATTGAACAATTTTATGTGTGGTGCACAAGTCCTTCATACATCTTCCATGTTCCAGAGTTGCTAGAAACAATCTTCGAAGTCAGTCAACATATTCCGGTGTTTTACGTCGTAGCCCATAAATTAATCACAGAGCTCTGATAAATCGTCTCTGGATCGCTTATCTGTATGTATGTACATTATAAATTGGTAACACTCCTCACCAAGGAGCAATATAAAAATTATCATAAAACTGGCCTGCCTAAACGGTTTAGCGGCCCGAAGTATAAATTATAGCATAGTTTCTTTTTTTTACTTTTATAAATGGTTTACTAGCAACCGAGATTACTAGTATTCCCGTTAACCCCTCCCACTAAGCTAAATCCCTTGTGTTAGGAGTGGGTTTACGTCAGTAGTGTACTAGTCAGGATTCGAACCCGAACCCGAACTCTTGATCGCAAAGCCAATGCCTTAACCACTAGGTCCAAAAGATAGACAGGAATCAATCAAATATCACCCCCAGGTCACGCACCTCATTAACGATCTCAATAATAGCTCTATCGTTGTGGTAATTATACTATATTAAACCTTTTTTCTTTCTCGTAAACTTAATAACCTGACACTGTTTTGAAATGAAATTTCTGTCACACCAGCTTACTATAGTATCGATATCTGTTTGGAGAATTTCACAGTCACAATGGTTAGATATTCGTTTAAATGTTTTTATATCGTCAGCGTAAGCTAAGCATTCACTTTAAATTAAATTATAATTATAAAAAAAAAGAAGGGGGTAAAATTTAAAGTAATTGCTTGTTGTGCTAAAAACCGAAGAGAAGTAATTTGCAAAAAGATTAACAGCATCAGTACCTGAGGTGCCGACCCTGTCATCGACTGAGGGCGGTACTAGTGATGCGTTTTTAGTGACGCGTTAGTGACGCTTTTAAGTTAAGCATAAGATCTTCTTCAATTTGCTCGACGTAACTTTTAATGATAAGCAAGCGATTTAGATCTAGCACTAAGCATCGAAAACATGTGATAATCTCTTGGATTCCCGTATTCTTTAAAACTGGTGTGAGCCTTATGTTTTATTACTAATGATTTTATTAGACTTTTAGAGAACCATGCAAGATACCTGTTACTAAAGACTTTAGATTTTTTTATGATTGAGTAAAGATTATTGTAAAAGATTTGCACAAACTCATCACATCTCACACCTGCGGCATTCTCATCCCAATCTATTTGCTCGATCTCTTGTCTGCAACTATAAAAGTCAGTTTTACGATAGCATAGTTTTTTAATAGATCAATTTTGCAATAGTAAACAAATGTTAGTTTGAAATATTATTTCAAAAGGGAAAGGATGATGTATGTCAAGACAACTAATAGGAGTGACAGTCATTTGCCGGGTTATCCGTAATCACCAAGTCAAGAATCCGGTCATTTTGGTTCGTATTGCTGTTCAATTGGCGTATCCGATGTGCATGAAATAGGTTGAAGAGAGACTTTGGCTTCACGTATTTATAGCCTAGGGGACAACCTATTTCGGCTGACCAGGTTACATTACCTAGATTAAAATTACCCCCAATACAGGTCAAGTGTCTAGATGTAGTATTAAGTCTATCGTCATAGCCGTTCAAAAATTCATCCATAACATTCGTAGGTAAATAATCCGGAAGATATGCAAAACATAAGCTAATAATTAAGGATTCATTCACTTTAACCTGCACCCATAGATCTTCAAACATTCAGTCTCCCAGTCCCTTCTAAACAAACATTTGAGTTTTTTCGAATAAGCAACCAGCACACCCCACCATGACTCTTTTTATACCGAACTCAAAATCTAATGTCTCGATCTCTAGGTACTACACAATATCTGTCATA